ACAAGCCGTTCCTATATTCTGTCACATGCTTACAGATACTTTCTTAAAATTACCACAGCCTCGCTATAGCTGATATTTTTTCACTTATTTAGATATCAGTAAGCACCGAATGTGGCAGTTAAGTCAGCCATGGAATTACTAATACCCTTAGCAGGGATAGAAAGTCATCCTTTAATGCGAAAACTTTAGGAGTAGTGTCAAATGTACTTTAACTTATAAATGCCCACTGAAAATATCTGCCTAAAATAATATAGTTTACCTCTTTAAGTGATGAAACAAAAGTCCAGCCACCCTTTGATTGGCCGATGATAGCTGACCAATCAAATTGTGGAGCCGTTTAGCCTGTTCATCGATCGTTCCGCTATCAGGTGCTTCAAGGGCCTATAAGCAAAACATTAAAAGCCTTATTGCATTCTTGTATTCTGTCTTGATTTCCATGTTATTCGACATTTTATATATACTATTAAAAGTCTATTGGTACGGGGTTGACGTGTAGCATGACATCGGAGATGGGTACCAGATGTTCTGTAGCTGTTTGCATGCAAAATAAAACCCTGAGATAAGAAAAACCTGTAGGTGCAATTAGCTCGTTTGGCGTGAGTTATTAATTCGTAGAGCTCAACAGGGGGTGGCTTGTCGTCAACTATGCTCATCTCCGGCAACAACACGGGCCAAACAGAAGTCAGCGAATGGATTAAAAGTGGCAATGGACTAGTGAAAAGAACTGAGGAGCAAATGGATGCGTTGACTCGGTGTTTCAGGCGAAGTCTCCTTTTTCTTGGCATGTTATTGGCACTGTGGTGGTGCGTGTGAAAGCGCACACCGATGTGGAGACGATTGAACACCCTTTGCTATTTCGGTCGCTGTAGTTCACTTCTAGTAGGCAAGATATCGCGCATTACAGAATGTGCAGGGATCAGCTCAACAAATTCATCGGTGAAATAGTTGAGAGGACGGTAAATGATGTAGGCACGTCGCCACTACTGTGGCTGCATAAGAAAATTTGACGACGGAGTTTGAGTGAATGATTTGGAGCTAGGGTGTTCGATGGTTGTAATGAAATCAGCACCGTAGTTGTTATTTTACCAACCGGTTCCGATTTCTTAACAGCTACCCTGCATTTCAAAATTTCGACTGGAAAATGACCAGGGGTATCGCTGCTGGAGTTTTGGCGGTTATTGGGGCCATAAGTGAGTGTGCTGAAATTGCAGTTGGATAGCAATTTGGCAGGCTATTATTAAGTAAATTTTACTAGATAAACGCATGAATGCTCAACTTACCTTTCCGACATCAACAAATTGGTCGTAGAGGTTATAACTCAGCAGAGGTTCCGGAAGCTGAAACATCAAATAGCCTTTAAAGTACATTTTTGCAACCTGTGCCACACTGCTATTACCAAAAATATTCAGCAATGAATCAGTCACAGGTAGCATGACAAACCATTTATTAAAATGTATTAAGATTCTTTAGGTGCATTTATCTGAGTTCTGGCAGGCTTTGATGCAGTTGCTTCAAATTTGATGCAATATCCCAATTTCATGCTGGTGCTATCACAACTTATTTCTCATTGTTTTTTATTCTACGAGAGTACCGCCTCAACTGCCTGTTCATAGTGCTGATTTTGGAAAAAAGAGCATCTTCAAAACGACTATAAAGATGAAATATTGTAGGTCAAAGTCCGCCAATTAGTAAGTCCCTCGTGGAAGTCTGATATCAAGCCATTTTTGTTGCTGTATGGTATTTTGATCACTGTCTTTAAAAACATTGTATATATCCACTCGTGAAGAAGTGTAAAGACGTCAGTACGGCGACCGTTGTAAAAATTAAATGAGCCTTCACCCCCCATCCCGGATTCCTTTCGGTGACAATAGTGACATATCAAGTAATTGGTTATAAGTTTCCATGCAGACTTCAAAATCTGCAAACAAAATTTTTCCGAGAAACATCATTAGCTTGCCGCTTAATCCAACTGTCAGAGTTTTAAGGAATCTGCACTACCTAGATGTCATAATGTTACTGTTCAGTGCCTTTACCGACAACGTCACGCGCTCTGTGTGTTGCGTGTTCCCCCCCCCTCCTACCATCTCTTCTGCCCCAAAAATTTAAGCAGAAAACAGGGAAAAAAGGGCCAATCCATTACTTTAGACACGACTGACTTGGCATTTTTGCTTGTTTGAGAACATGGTCTTCGAAATTACTTCCAGCAAGCCCTGTGAAAGGCATTTTACCCAATTGTATAACCAGCACAACAGAAATTGGGCACTGACCGATAAAAAGTACCAAGGCAAGAAAAACATTGACGACGGGAGCCTCCCCATTTCCCGCTACTTAGAGGGGTTTAAAAGTAGAGCAAAGTGAACACTCCCAAGTTGTATCTACTGGTAACTTTTATGCCTGAGATTGCAATGCTTGACACATTACACAACATTCCAAGTTGTTAGGATGGAGCTTGTTTGCTGGTCTGCCTCATATGCATAATTGCAATAAGACCGAGAGACAGGAATGATGATGGCACAACGGAAACCTGTGATGGGGGGAACACCGTCCTAGTGCAAAAAAAGACAAGCCAAGCTAAATTTATAGCTTTTTTATAGCCTGTAGGCGGGTCCCTCCAACTTTTCCAGTGCGCAAATTATTTCGACTGCTTCCTTTAGACACCTTAGTCTGCTTAGAACAGTCAACGTCTTTGATGTTGTTGCAGTACTTTGGGTGATTGAATCTCGGTTTTTGTAAAGGGACACTTTCTGTCGCCGCTGTTGTACCTTCGCCGGGTGGGCTGGCCTCCGGGCTATGCCAGTAGCCCCAATCCCTTCCATTTGTTGAATATATATATTCTGTCCCAGTATTATTTTTTCTTTCTTCTTCAGGAAATTCTCGGGGCGTTACGCTGGTGGCAGCGGAAAGTAAACCCGGTCCTACTGGACATCTGCCCTGAATCCTACGGCTTGGTGATAAACCTTAGCGGGGAGGAGGAAGTGCATATATTTAAAAAGGGAGAATCGGTGACGATGCCTAACAGGTCTGAAAATGTCGTCTACCTTCAGCAACTACGTCAGTCCCGTATTCTACGGGAAAGCCATTAACAACAAAAGCGACACTCACTGTGAACCATCTGAAAAAGTTTCATTACGGAGATGCTTTCCGTGTCTGTATGAAGGTATCCAATATGTAACCTTGCGTTAACCTCCTCCACATCTCTACCAATTGGATAGAACCCAGGTAGATATGGCTGAGGAGCTCTGAGGTAAGAACATGGTAAGGAGGAATAGACGCGGAATCCTACCCCCTATAGGAGCATGTTAAATCCTTTGTTATTTGACTCTGCATTTAGGCCAGTGTTCCTACAACTGGCTGTGGACACGCGTGATGATCAGAACATTTCCCTTTCCTCGAATCCGGTCCACATACAGGCCAAAACGCCTGATCCAGTAAAATCGCTTAAGGGAATCAGCAACGCCGCGATCAAGTATCTCCCCAACTATGTGAACATTCGATGACTGATATGTTTGGCTCGTGGGTGCTATTTTTATTGCAGCAGCGATTGTTTTGTGATGGCTTATGCGAAAAATTGACGAAGGGGAGCGCCGAGGACGACGCTCGAAAGAGGAGGGAGACTATGTAATGCGTTACCTGTAAGTCTAACTCTCGGTTTTGGTAAAGGAGTCACTTTGGGTCTCCGTTATTTTATCTTTGCCGGGTGGACTGGCTTCCAGGCCATGCCAGTAGTCCCAAGCACTTCTGCTGGTCGAGAACACCTAGTCTGCTCGAGTATTGTGGCTTCTTTCGCCTTAAGGAAAGTCGAGGGGTGCCACAGTAGTGTGTACATTATAGTCAGGCAATTCGCTCCCAAACACAGCCTACGAATCACAAGATTTCTGTCTTGCTCATATACCTTTAGTGAGAAATTTACATTTTGACGTACGAAATCTCGCTGCTCTAAAAAAGCTTGCTTAAAACGCACTAGATGACTTTTCAGTCCTAAGCTTTCAATGGGGGACTAGGATTCCGGGAAACGCAGAAGCCTTTTGTCCTTGTAAATTCTACAGCAGGCTCTCGCTTTTTCCTCATGCAGAAAAAAGTGATCTGATTCCGCATTTACACACTGCCAACCTCGATGGCATGAGCCCTCCACTCCCTTTTATTGGCACCTCATCTGGTGGACGTAAAAACTAAGGCAAATCCGAAAATAACGTGATGCGAAGGTGCTATTAAGAAGGGTATTCTAGACTTTTACGAACGAAACTTTTTTGAGAACTGATATCCAAAACAATTTTAAACGATGCTGGTGGGGAAAATTGGGTTGAAGATAGGTATTATCACTAAAAAGTAGCTACTGCGTGCTGTAAATGAGACTAAACGAGCTAGAGCCAGACCAGAGTCCATACGTTTGCAGCCCAGTAGAATGCTAGTTGTTGTCTCCACGCCTTATAAGTTAGGAGGGCCTAGTTCCTTAACTAGAGTTACCTTAAGCACTGCAGAGGTGGTTAGTATCGAGGTGCTTGGGACTGACCTGGATTAGTCGAGTTTTCAGAGTGCTGGCCAAAGTGATGGCGTACTCCCCGGAGAGATCGACCGAACTGTGACCTGACTCCTGCGCCGCCCTTATGGCCTCCACCACTCCAGCCACCTTGATCTTGGATGCAGGCACTCGGTATATACCCTGCAACAAAGGAAACGAAGATGCCCTTAGGACTTTTGTGTTTTTACTGGTTAATGTTCGTTTTACTTGTATCGACGGCTATTCAAGCTCTTCAATCCCCACGACTTCGTTAACAGTTCACCAAATCTTCTACACACTAATTACTCACTTCCGATCAGGAACCAACTCTTAAATCAACTTCAAGAAGAGCTTGAAAGGTATTCTAAAATGCGCTAAGATTGCCATCTATTTCTGGGGCACCGGAAGTAGTTGGAGGTTAAATTTCCCTGTAATCAGAGTTTAGGAGGGATTGGGTATTTTGGGTGGGATTCTATCTCCACATACATATATTAAAGCATATTCATACTTTGAAAGTTGCTTTTCATTAACGCGTCTGATATTCTCGCCTCTTAAACTCTGACAATTATGGACCTGCGTAACTCTGTGCCCTGCGAAATAGCGACGATTCCTCATTCGCCTCATTAAGTATCCAACGATTAAACCGCACTCTGGCATCCAATTTAGTGGTGTTAAAGGGTGTTGACTAGTTCAGCTGTGATTAGGGGGAAACAAATTTGAATTTTAAACGTAGAGCAACTTTTAATTGGCCACTTCAATGCCTGAGTACATGGTCACGGGGGCCTTCAATACAGGAAGCCAGTGCAACTCAACAACTTCCAGGTCACAGGTATTTGCAACAATGTCAAATGTGGCGAAAAAGGCTTTTCAAAAAGCCATCTGCCAAACTAAACACCGGGTTGCCATGAAAGCATCCTAATTCTGATTGAAAGAATCAGGGACATCCAGCTAGTTGGATTATTTGATTCAGCTCGGATACGGAGGAAACATCAGCAATTCGGACCATTTATTATTCGCTTTTTTCTGCTTGAGGTATAACTGCGACTGATTCACGCATGCGCACCAGAACAAACCGCATCTGTCTCCTCCTCTTCCTCCACCGCAACCACCACCAACAACAACACTACCCACTGCCGTCCACGTGTGCAAACCATGTTCAGATGGTCATCTATATAGGCTGGACACAATTTGTCTCTGACCCTTGCAAGCCAATGCCACACTGTGCCCAGCTAAAATTTCCCACTTAAAGGCCGATCACCTCCCTACTTTGATCTGCCTTTCTGCGGATCATGTGTGGAGCGCTGGCTCAAATTAGACAGCCACCGCAAACTATAACTTCGGCATTTTGAAATGATAGACAAGAAGCTTCTCATAAAGCTTGAGAGCTAATCTTGCTTTTCTTGATAGGTTAAACTTGCAAAGTAATACCAGCTACGGAACAATGTGAGGAGAACTCCAAAACCGTGGAAGAAATGGACGTATTCAGCTCATAATGGAATTCAGATCTTGCTTTCCTCAGCAATGCCATATTAAGTGGGCGGACAGGCTTGTACACTAATGTGTCTTGCCCACCTCCGCATCTGTCGCGCCAAAATTTGCCAAAAAAGGGAACTGACAGAGACGAGTAGAAGGGCCGTACTGAGGAAGGTGAAGTGCGAATTCACACAACACCGCTGATGAATCCAATTTCGGTATACAGTACGGTGAAGAAGGAGAGCAAATGCTAAAACTGGAGGCCTGACGAAGTGTGGATTTCATTTCAGCTTTCACTCTAATTAACGATGGAAACGGTTTGCCATGGTGATAGAACCAGGCTGTTCTTGTAATCCAGAATCTAGATGTAAGTATTTCGCAAGTAATTTGGGGCCACTGATGTAGGGGCAAAAGAAAAAGTATGAAGCGACTTTTCCCGCCTTTGTAAGGAGGAGTAAAGTCTCCGCCGTGGGGTATTCAAGTGTTGCGATTGAAGTTATCCAGATGTACGATGCTCTTGCCTCCACTTTGGTGTACTTTTGTCCACTCCGCCTGGCGTGCGATTTGACAAAAAAGTTGTCCGATCTTCTTTATTGTAAAAGCACAAACTGAATTTCGCTGTCTGAACCCTAGTTATATTTGGATTTTTGTAAAAAGGAAGGAAGAAACAAAATTAGCGAACTCCAAAATTCCATTCAACCAATTGCACCAATTTCTCCTCTTTTGCAATTTGAGTTGAGATTTGACTCTCCAAACAAATAAGTTATTAAATTTGTTCAGGGAATTCGAAATCAGCAGGTCTCAACAGAACAACACTCATCATTACTACTAAGTGGCATTCAATTAGTAGTATTGAGTGCTAGTTTATTTCGAAGTAAGGTTTGAATAGGGCACGACCCTACGGAACTAAATTTGTGGAACACAAAGTATTAGTACGATTGGTCTTGTAATTTGGACACTAAAAGTTCATCTGAGTAACGGTTTGGGAGGTAGCCTTAGGTCAGGGTACACAATTGAAAGAGCGATGATATGCCTTCAAAATACACAAAAAGCGCAAAAAAGACCTGACCTCCGAAATGGGTAAGTAAGGTCAGATATCACGAGCTTAATAACCTCATAAATTCAATAATCGGTGTAACTTCCTCTTTTTTGACCAGTGAAATAGTTGAGAATGGAAACATCAACTAATCGCAGCTGTTCATCGTCTGGCCTTGTCGCTAGGACAGGCTCTGATTATGACGTTAGTTGTCAATACAGGCCCGTGCACCCACATCTCTGAAAATCTAAACAGTACAGTCTCCATTCTATTTTCAAATCGTACCACCGTCACCACTTTTGTTTATACCCAGTTTTGACCAGCTATTCACAGTCTGACGCATTTCCACAATATTTATGCAATTAGACATCTCTTTTACTCATCTTTAGTTCGGACTTCGTTTCTTAACCAACTAATTGAACACTTTATCGCAACATGAATCTCACTACTTGTCTTTATTGCCATTACTGCATTTATCACAAGAATATCGCAGCATCTGGTAATTCCAACGCGTCAGCAGTGACACCAGAGATCTCAAGCCACCAGTCCGTTGGAATTCCTTCTTTTTTTTTCGCACCAGGGTACCACAATGCCCATGTTTCTGCTTTGTTGGGGTTTCGAGCCAACTTGTGGCTAATGACGAGGCGTGAACTCGTGAACTTCTTGAGCCGGGCGCACTTTATGGCTATACATATATAGATAACAGTACAGTAACAGTATTGTTGCCCTCCCCTTACTCAAGAACGACTATTTTTCCTACAGAAAAGCCACCGACGTGAGGGCGAGCAAGTGACTGAACGGGCTAAAAGATCCTCTTACACAGCTGATTTAACGGGACAAGAGTCGGCTGTCAGGTTTGGAGCTAAATCGCTCGTAACCTTTTTCCACTTCAGTTTTTCGAGTGGCGCAAATCCCACACAGCTGTCGATGGGGAGGAGCTCCTGCACATGCCCATATCAATCTCATTTTTTCAAATATGCATGTGCGCGAGTATTTTTGCCCTGGGTCATCGGGGAGGTGCTATTTGCCCCTTAGCAGCTGTTGCTTTCGGTGCTTAGAAAAACTGCACGTAAAATAGAACCAACAACGAATTTGCTTGTGTGTGTGCTTGCGAGAACTCAGGTGCTTGGAGGAAGGAAAGAAGGCAAGAATGAGAGTAGACGAGTGGGGATAACGGCAGGTGGGGCCACGCGGGAAAAATGTCACCGAAAAGGGTAATTGTCAGTGCTACCACTATGTGTGTGCGTGTGGCTGTGCGCGTGTGCAAGATTTGGCCAAACAAACAGGAGACGCCGCCGAATCAAACACTAAATGGGCAAACAGAGACATTTTCGCCGAGGTTAGTGCCGATATGCCCATCCCAGTGCTCCCTAACGTAAAATTTAGCAAAAGGGGAGACAGGAAGGCGATATTTGTGGCTTCGAGGGACTACTAAATACGCAGTTGTCGAAGTCATCAGATGTTATGCACAAGAGTAACCACTTGGCATTAGGAACAAATCTCAGAAACTTCCGTAAGAGGAGCAAAGGAAATCCTTCCAATTTTGAACACATTCACTGATAATTCAAAGGGGCAGTTAGCCGAAAACCCACATATTCTGATAATGCTTGAGTTGGAGATGAACGCAGAGGTGAGGATGTGGACTTACGTGAGTCTGAAGTCCATTTTCTTGGGTTTCGATGCCGTTTATGCACTGGATGAGGACATAACAGGCATTGTCATACTCCGTCTCCGCGGCGGCTTCAAGCGCCGCGAGGTGAGCGGGGTCGAGGTCAGTGGATGCAGCGGCAGCAGTGACGGAGGAAACTCGAGCGCCTTTGCTGCCACGCAAGTTGGTCTTCTTAAGGTCGGGTCGGAAGAGGGTAGAGCCGAACTGCACCAGGGAGGAGAGGACCGTGGTGCTGCCTTGTGTTACACCTTCTCCCTCGCCCTCCGAATCCGACTCCGAGTGCCGACCTTCACAAGTAGACAAACAGGTAGTAACTACGCTGCTAACTTTGTAAACAACCCTGAATTTAATATACAATTGGCAAGAGACGCAATAAAGAGCCTGAGTCGGTCGTTGTAAATAACCCCAACCTGCAACGGCATTACGCGTATCTTTGCATTTCTCAGCAAGGAAACTTGACTGCATGTTATTAAAAAGTAACAGAGACAGAAATGTGCTAGAGGTGGCAACTACTCTGAAGTAAATCGTTAATTTATTAGCGAGATATACGCTGATCGTGTTAGAAACCACCAGAGACGGTGAATTAATCACTAGTCCGTAATGTTTACGTGGGCGAAACTACAGCCCGGAACCTTGTTGGCTGAATTAGGGTAGACTAAGTCTAACGGCAACGATACATCAGCCAGCACAGAGAATGTAGAGCCTCTAAACAACCTCGATAAAGTTTAATCTGCCTTAGATGTCGACGGAGGTCAACACCTCCACCGCTTTTAGATCAAATAACTTACTCTTAAACTAGAAACGAATGTAAAACAATGTTGTTTCATTCTGCGTTTCATCTCTACAATGCCTGACAAGTTAATGGAACTAATTTTTCTTAATAATGAAATGACAGCCGATTGACCAGTTGGCATTTGAGCAATGGACAGGGGTGAGGGCTTTGTTGAGAAATCTGCCATGCACAAAAAGCGTGGCTCCTATCCTTCCCTGTCCGAAGGCTAAATATCGCCCAGAACTGTTTCCCTTTCTGTGTCAAAGATGTGAATCTGGACAAAACATCAGATAAATGCGGCCAACTTCGACTACTTCGGTCAGAAGACGAAAAAAAGAAACATAAATGCTCCAAAAGGAGCACTTACTACAGTCATCAATGCCACCACGACTAGACATTCAGTAGGGTTGTATTAATCACAGGATGGGTTGAATTCATGTAATTGACGTTTAAGGAAAACAACCTCCCACAGCCTCATTTATTCATTCGATTCAATGACAAGTTAAAAATTACTCATTGTTACCTTTTGTAGAATAAAAACGTCAACTTTGGAGGACCATCTAGTTCAAAAGTATTCACCTCACGTCCGAACGCTTTTGATGAACTACTCCCATTGCTGTTGAGTTAGAGGGTCGTGTCTTTCCACTAGTTGAAGTGCTTACGTTAACCGTGATCTGCTAGAGACAGCCACAAATGAAATAGTTAAACATCTTAATACGTGTACTCTTTCGATCACATTAGTGCCATGGATTTGCCCCACCCTCGAAGCACTGCCACAAGCACTCTTACAGTGAAGACGCTACTCAATGATACAAACTTCTGTGAGGAGTCGGAGCCTTCTGCTGGGTTTTCGACAAAAGTAAGCTTGTGTTAGACAGGCCATCTGCCGCTGCCTTGTTGACAGCACGTGAACTAACAAGAATGAATTCAACCGGATTTGCAGAGGCCAGCACAGCTAAGACAGAGACCGGCATCACAATGTTGCCTTTTATTCATATTTTGGCCTTGATAATAAGTTTGAACAGGGGCGAGATTCGGCCTGACAGGAATAAGGCAGCCTGACAGATATTAATGGACAACATTATCTTTACAATTATCCCCTCTGTAGATGTTTCTATCCCAATTATCTGGTAGTGTTTGGATACGACTTGGAGGTTTATAAAACTACATTCGGTGGAAAGAATGTACAATCTTTCAGAGAGCTAAGATTCATGATTTGACTGAGCCCGTTCACTCTGCTGAGTGCGAGGGAAAGACAACGACATAATGAACCACGTGCTCATGGGCACGCTCCAATCCTAATGAATCATTCATGCCGAAAAAAAGGAAGCTAGAAGAGCACCTCAGGGAAGTCTGTTTTTGTCTTCTTTATTTTATTCTCCAATCTCATGCATCTAAGTACGGAATTTTTTGGTAATAGTTAACTCTGCATTCACCAGAAGCCAACAACACATAAAAAAGTTTCCACTTTTAGGCCTAACAGCAACTCTTTTGTGCATTAGATGCTTAATCTGGAACAGAAAACCTCTACGTACTAATTTGAGATTTTAACATGAAAGGTAGGGGGGTTGTAAAACAGTATGTTTTGGTTTTTTGCCGACCTCTTCCCTTTACTACTGTTGAGGTTATGACCACAGATGCACATAAAAACATCACATTTGTCCGCAAGGGTTCTGAATTCCTCCAGACATTCCTTTGAAGCAAAAAGGTGGATAAATGCTAGGCAAGGTATTTCTATCCTCAGTTATCGCGCAGCCCCAAGCAAAAAAAATAATTTGCACCATCGCAGATTATAAAAATTAAGGCTTTGTTTAGGGTTTTTCTTTCTCCATGTGGCTAGATGATTATCCCATGTACTGTGGGCTCGCATTTACGGAGTGGATCAACCGCAAAAGGCGCAATTAACCTGCAGAGGCAGCTGATAAGGGGGATGAGAAATGTCAGCTGTTACAGAAAAAACTTGTTTGTCAGAACTTAGGAAAGAGCAAGTCAAGGTCACTTGGTGTTCGAGAGCAGAAGAATGTAGGGCTCCCATATGAAGGCCAAAACTGGAGGAGGGTACCATATTCATATCAGATGTGGGAGATTCGACTACCAAATCACCGCTAAGTACTCTTCAGACAACAGGAAGAATCAGGATTTTAAAGGGCCAACATGTTATTTCACATACTTACCATCAGCTACCTCCGACGTGTCTTTGGAATAGAGCTGAGCGAATCGAGACACGAATTTCCCAAAGGAGGCATCTCCCCTAATGTTGACAAGAAACAATTTTGTGGGATCTTTCACCGAATTTCGAAGTTTGAGAAAGTTATGCATAAAACGCATGGATTCCTACCGATCTTTTGCGTTGGCCGGGTTGTCATGGTAGCCCTCAAACTGGTACTTCTCCAGGACGACATCTGTCCCACTTTGAACATGTTCCTGAAGAAGGCGATGATAGGGCTGGCCTGGGATGTAATTCTGAAACTTTGTTGCGACATCCTCGTACTAGGGGGAAGATAAAATGGGGAAACCCCTCAATTTTAACATTTTGAATGTGACTTATAAACTCTTTTGGCATCTTGAACTCTTGCCGGGTTCTTTTGGCCACTTTGCTGAGAAATTCCGGGAAAGATCCATGACAGCGCAGCTCGCCACAAAGACATACCCACGGTAAATCTTTCAATGAGAGGAGGCTCTATTGCCTATTTTTAGCCGCCAAGACTAGGCAGTAGAAAAGACATTTTCTTCTGTCATCAAGGCTAAAATGAAGGACGCGCATCACGTTCGTACGCACTTATGACAGAAAACAAAAGTGCAGCCAGAATCTGCCTTTGTTGGATAAGTAGCAAAAAAAAGGAAAAAACCACTTCCAAAAGGACTTTTCCGACTCCTTTATTATTCTTTAAGGCGAAAAAATCCACTTATTATACATTCTTCTGAAGAGAGCGCAAGGGAGAGGACGGAGGGAGCATTCAGCAGTGCAGTGCTACTGAACGAAAGCCGTTTTAAAATGCAATGCTTTCCTTATTGAAAGAAGTACCCGGAGCCAGGTTAGCTTGCCTATAGACAGAGTCGTATAAAATGCGAAGCTCCTCCCGCAGCAGACGCTGTTTTGCCGTTATTGAAGGCACCAATTAAAGCCTCTTTCTCGATGATCTGCCTAAACAGTAGGGAGAACTTAACAGTCTGCAAATTGCTTTTGATGGTTAGGTAGGCTCATGAACAGCTTACAAGCGCCACTGTGTCTGCACACGTGTGATTCAGTCCCAATTTAGAGTTCATTTATGACTAATGACGGTTTGACATAAATTACAGAAAGGCAATAGTTCACTTAGTCGCCTTTTGTATAGCGCCAAGCCTATGCTTAACGAAGATCCAAATATGAGAAGGCTGCAGTCACTACCAGAAGACCGAGTGGACACTCTCCAAACAAAACAATCTGTCATCGGAGGAAGAACAGGATTGGGTATTGTAAGGTATGGTAGTTGGGAAATGATAATAGCCAAGTTGATTCGCATTTTGAGGGTAGAAACGCAACTTAACAGAATGATACAGAACGGATCACACTATGCTCAACGCACGAATGTCCACCTCCTTTCTTAAGACCAATTTCATTCAAACTTTTGTCTCATCACATTCCACCCCATCGCTAGAGGAGGTTGGTTTTGGAGCACACCACAAACTTCAGTTCTTAAAGGGCAGTAAAAAACGGATTCTTCTAGCATATTTTAAAGAACAATTTATCACTACCGCATCCAAATTTATCCATTTTTCCCCTGTGACCAAGGCATGGGGGGAGAGGAGGTGCACCTCACATCATTCCCCAAGCCGAACGATAGGGTAGCATTCACTTGTTTATCTACTTGTCTATCAAACCTTCGCAATTTCCAAGAGCATTTTTATGTGCAGTCAAAGCTAGTAAAAAGAAATTTCACCCCTCCAACCCTGTTCTAATCGTCATGATTGCACGGATAACAGTTTCACTTCGTCCCACGCAATTTGTATCTTGAGGGCCGTCAGATCCACTGGACAGCTTTTGGTTAGACCACCGCTGCCCAGTCTTTAAATTCACCAAGAGAGCAACAATTCTTCACGTCTACTCATTGTTAATTCCAAGAGATTTAATTTAATTTTTCTGACCTAATGCCATGCAAATGCAATCCTCACCGTCATCAACAGCAGCCACTCCTTCGGAGGGATCTGTAACCCAATATCCATGAGATCTTGAATATCCTGAAACAGTTGTCTACTTCTATCAAGACAACCTCACGCAAATTAATCTTTTTTGTCAAAAAAAAGTATGCAGCCTTTTCTACATTGGTGTTCTTCCAAAAAATTAGAGGAAGTCCGTAATTACATAGCACAATGGCGAAAAATAAAGGGGATTAAAGGACTTCAAATCCACTTCGTCAACAAAATGGCTCCTTTATGGATGGTATATTTCAGTTTTTATAGGGACTATTAAGTAAAATAAGCTTCTCTTGATGCACCAAAAAACTTGAGCACCTTTGGCGGGTTAATCAGTTCGGTGGTTGTGGCGTGGAAGAAGTAAACGGTTAAGGCGCTTACGTTGCTCAGCATCTTTGTCCGTGTGACGAAGAGGTGACTGATGAGCTCGGCCATCGAATCGCTGACAACTTCGTCACATTTCGTAACTGTTAGCCTTGTATCGCAGATTATTTCAACCTTTACCAAGAGAGGACGAGCGACAGAAGGAGGAAGGAAAGGAAAGGGATAATTTTAATTTCTTGCATTTGTAAACTTCACTTCGACAAACATTTTCAAAACTTTCCCGCTAAAGAAGTACTCTGACCTTTGAGGGTACGTCAGACAAATGAAGCAAAGCTACTTCCACAGAACAAGCGTCTGTGAGGTAAGTTTAGCCTCTTAAAACCTTCTGTCTGTGAGGCACACTCTGTGGAGGCTGAAAAGTTCAATTATTATATCTAAATTAAGTGCTCCTCTATAATGTTCACGTCCCAATCGCCAGTTTTATTTTTGCTGATTGTCAAGATACTACATAACGTCATAGTCTTTTGCGAGTTAAGGTGATAGTTTTTGGATCACGGACAGTAAGTTGTCGTCTCTTTCAGAGGAGGGAGGGAAAGGGAAGGTAACTCACCCTACTTTTTTCCAGCTCCACGAGTCTCGCGTTTGCCGCGTCCACGGATTCCCTGTAGGCGTACATTAATTCCATCTCCTGAAATAGCAATTTCAAGCAGAGTTATATTGTATTAGTATATCTAACGCCCTATGAAGGACCTCCGACCTCCTATTTTAGTAAGCATTAAAGTTATTTATGTACTACGTTGACATCCGGAAGAGAAGTGACACCAGAAGCGCTTGGTTTATCCATTGGACTCAGTTCAAGTAAGGCTGTGGCGATGGAGGGGAGGAGAGGGATGGGGCCTATGCTTGAGAGATTGACGCAGCAATTAGTGTGCATGGTCACCCTCTCTTTCTCTCTCTCGCGCTTCACGCCTGATCATAGTCAGACATCTTTTGGCTCACCGCAGCAAGGAAGAAGAAAAACAGCAACCTTTCTTCCGTGCCCCCCGAAAAAACGCTTCTTGAGGTGTTTTCGGTAATATATAAGAAAATCAGCCTTATTACAACTTCTATCACTATTGAAAGGTGTACGAGACTGCATTTATGTCAATTTCACTTGATATCTGCGTAAATTGGTTTTAAATACTATGGCCTCTGGAAAAAAGTTACCGGAATTGTAAAAGTAGATTAAGCATTACCATCTGCAATTTCAAGCGACCGAAACACTTCTGCGTAGTCCCTATGTTACAAAAAAACAAGAAAGGACTGCCATTAGGATACTTCCCCAGCAAATTTCGGAACCGCGGAAATTTACGACAATGTCCAGATCCAGATCTATTTCATGGTCGACTTTTCCATTGCTAATGACTAACAACAGATCAGTCATCATAGCAGCCATCCACTAGTTACAGGTTTTAGCATTCTGCGCGGAGTAGGGCGATACTACTGACAGCTTCAAAAGTAGTTTGCCGGTTGCATTAAAACGCAAAAAATCCACGAGGTGTGCTGAAGGGTCTGAACTCACAATCAAATTAGAGCCATTGATACAAAAAGGCTTCACTTTTTTCTCCGCGTTTATTCAAGGTGGTGTACTGTAGAGTTATCATTTTGACTCATCTCTGCAATATTTACTTATGAGATGGTCACAAAATGAGTAAGAAAACCAATTTCTTTGCTGTATATTTCATTAGAAAGGAAACATTTTATTAAAACTACTTCCTCCTCAATTCGTTTAATCTGGACACAGCTTTGACTCCATTATGCGTGAATTTTGGCCGTAAAAAGTTCACTATTAATTTGCTTAGCAGAGTCTGTTTAATGCAAGGCGGATACTTTCGATGGATTGTTAGTGTGATCCCTGAGACTATAAACGGTACTACTTCAAGCTTGAAAATGAATATGCAAGTATGGATGTAGACTTTCGGGGACTAAAAGCACGGAATGGCAAAGTTATATGGCCACGATCGGTCTTAATTTAGGATTATCATTAGTCACCCAAAAGTTGCTAAAGTGTGCAGCGAATGGGAAACAATGCGAGTGGTGTTGGCTTGATTCTACTTCACTCGTTGCTTGCAAGCAGGACCTGGGATTAGAGGAACCGTTTCAGTAGCAAACATTCAAACCTTTTTATGACCTTACTTCACTACTAACGGCTTTGCCGACCTTCAACTGCATTACAGGGGGTAGAGGGAGGGGACTTTAGAGGGAATTGTGACATTTCATGGTGAGAGGTGCTTTAAGGTAAAAGTCAAAGGAAGCGAAGTCCACCACGTATAATGGTCCATTAGAGTTTGGCTTCAAATAATTGCACTTTCTTCGAAAGAATAAAGGAAGCCGCATCTGCTAAAAAAAAATACGGCAGCAACTTCCCTTGAATGGCGAAACATAAGGCTCGGTGCTCTAAAAATAAGTAACTTGTTCGAAACGAACAAAGAGCGCAGGTGTTTCTGCAAATGTAGGAACTGCTTGTGACCAGTAATTACGACGCACAAAAGGAAACTCAATGGTTCAGTTAAAAGAAGGAGTTTATTTATTTTGCTAGAAATGCCTCTGAATGATGACCAAGCAATGACCATGGCATTCGGTGCATCAATTTAAACAACCACTCGGAGAGTGTAGTTTGACTGAGGAAGAGATCTTTCGGAGGCAGCGGTGGTAGAAACAGAGAGAAAGCGGAGAGAGGATTTTGCAAGTAACAGAATCATCGCTTCGGTCCGCCTTCATACAACACACTCCCAACCCTCGGTGCACATATAAATAGCTTCAGTTATGGTTGTCTCTTGCACCATGAAAAGATACCAGCATTCCTGCAGACTATCATTCATCCAAACTTCTAACTGGCCATTCACCCGTTCGCCTACACAAAGCGTGGTACGAAGCAGCGCTGCGCGGCAATTCAAATTAGACTTAGTGAAACGGCCACAGACAGAGGGATGCAGCTGAAGCAATACCTCCGGTTTCAACGATTTCAGGGGATTGCCAGTTATGCGAAAGTAACAATTATTCCTAAAAAGGGGGAAACAGCGACCCAATCAACTCATCTGAGTCATGGAGACTTCCTGTAAAAACATATCTGATATGTTCCTGTCGCCAGGTGCGAGATAATCGGCCATTACTCTGTTTGAAGTCCCAGTCGTTAGAACTATCAGCCCACTTTTTCAGTGTTTGAATAAGTGATGATTTCAACTGACCTCAGTGTCGCTCATTGGCCACAAAATATGACGACTTGCATTCATCTTAAATAGACTTGTCCAGATCCAAATTTACTGAATTCGCTTTTCGGTAGTTCCATTGAATGAAGGAAATGCATTTATAAAGTTCAAACAAAAAGCCGCCTTTCTTTGAAATAAACTACCTCTAAAGTTTTCGGTTATACTTTATTTTATTTAAAAAGTGCATGTTTCGGTTGCAAATCTGCAAGGATTTGTTTGAAGAAGGAGGAGAAGATGGAGAAAGCATTGGGGACGTGCATGCAGAGCGAGGGGACGTCTGATGCCTGTCTAGACCCGGCGCGTTTTGACGCAAATATTTCTGGCATTTCGTGTAGCCTTGGGGACAGCACCGAGAGAGGCTGTGGGGGGCAGATTTCTCCTTGCTATGTTACGAACGCTAAAAAGGGAGTACGACTTTTTTCTTGCTAATGGAGCTGGATTGACGGCGCCCAGAGATAAGATCAGCACGATGTATTACCATAATTACTACTTTTTGGCTGTTGGACCACTTCAATACTAAGATGATGCGTCAAGGCAGAAGTATGGAGGTTAGACAAAAAATTCCCCTTTTTTAACAAATGGAAGGCTCAAACTTATGCCCCACGATTGTGTGTGCAACGTGAGCCCATTGAATGCGGAATCTCGTGTGAATGCGCAATCTCTTGTTTAGGTTTATAAAAGCGCATTTTGGATTCGAGAGGGTGATGCCGCTGACCCAAGCTTGTGTCCTTGAACAAACAAAGCAGATCAAACAGATTCGCATCTTTTCTACCTGTTTCATCATATGTTAGACTCTTCCGATCTACCTGGCTGCTATGAATAAGTCCCACCTTAAATGGAACTGGAGGATAGCCGCAAGATTTCAACATTCCAGACTGACCTCCTACATTGTTCAAGTCAGTGGTCTTCAAAGAGTGCCACGAACCACAATTTACCTGGCAAAATCAAGAATTCTTTTCATAGTCCGTGGTGAAACAGGCAGAAGAGGGAATGGATAGTTGGTGGGAAGGAAGTGCAGTCCCCCTAAAGTGTATGTGTGGGTGTGGGCACGATGTGCACCAGTAGATTTACATCCTCGTCTGCCCCGATTGTAGCCAACAGGTCCGAAGAAAAGCTGCATTCACTGTTTGTGAAAATCTGATTGCAACGTCATTCCTCCGCTGTCCTATGCGGGGTTCAAGTCACAATGTGAAATTCGCAATACCTAATAGGTGCATTTGAGACAATAGCCAAATTTTCAATTTAACCAGTTTCGACATAAACATGAACAATTTTTGCAAGACGTGCCACTTTATTCGGAGAATGCGATGTAAAAAGCCATTTGAGCCGGATATTTGAGGTTTCCAAGGTGTTTCTGTAGAGTTTTTGTTAGTTAACAGGTAACGACAACCTTCTCAAACTTTTCTGTCCTTGTTTGAGACACTCTCCTCCATTTACCCTCAGCTGAAGCACTTTCGCCAGGCTGAAGGGCTTAAGACATGAAAATATTTTGTAATTCCCATGATTTTCATAGAAGATTTTCCTGTATGAGTTAAAGGGCAAGAGCTTGACAAACTCTTGGCATGAGTTTGACAAAATCAGTATTGAAGTGTCGGTTAAAATTGGGTATGCTTAGCTTGCCTGTAATCCAACCCGTTCCTCTCCTTCGAAACGTAAAACCCATATTGAGATCCTCAATGCAGTAACCGCATAGATACGTCTGGCAAAATTTAGAAGCTTTAAATTCCCCGCACTCCCTCCTACCTCAAAAGGAAGACGTGGCACTCAATTTCTCATCTGCTGTGGAAGGAAAAGACCTAACAGGCTGCCTTGAAACAATCGAGGATGGGACTGAACGATGTCTGTGGCTCCGTTTGAACGACAAGAATGGCCAAGCCAAGGCGAGCTGTGGTTTTCGCACCGGTTTATAAACGGATGTTAGCTTTTGTTTCTGTGTGTGTGTGGATGCCATCCCGTGTGCCCGGGAGGCGGTGGTCGCAAGGCCTCTTGCGGTTGGTGTGCACGAACCTCCCTCCCAGCAGGGGAAATGACCACTGTCACCTTTTTGACAGGACTATTTTTGGACGCGAAGACGCGGTTAAACCGAACGTCAAACTCCAGTTCTATCTAGATCACTTTAAAATCAATCTGCGAGCTCCTCGCTTCACCTCAATTTCCTGTTTGCTAGGTCGGTTTTTCTTTCACCTTCCATCGTCCTCATGATTTCACAGTGTTACTATTTAGGCACAACTCTAAATAACTAGTTAAAATCAAATGAGGGAGGTTTACTTTGAAAAAGAAAAGTAGAATGCGTTGCTGATGCAGGAGCAGCCTACCTTCTTATCATTGTCACCGAGTTGTCTCTCCAGCCTTTCCACCTTGGCTTTATGCTTAACAACGGCATTCATGAGAGCGGGATCGACAGGAGAGGGAGAAGTGTAGGCAATGGAGGCGGATGCAGAGGCGGAACTGGCTGAGGTGGAGCCATCAAGGCCATTGTCTGTCGAAGCGGAGGCTACGGAGGTGGTAGCAGTGACTGCGGAGGCAGTACTAGGGGATCCAGAGGCGGCACCGTTGATGGGGGGCAGTGGCATTGGCGAGGCGAGTGATGTGGTGGTAGCAGCAGCCATAAGATTGGCCTGGGAATCGTTCAGTGTTGCCTGTGCAGTGGCCAGATCTTCGCGAAGCTTTACACCCGTCTGGCAGCATTTGAAGTAGTTCGACTTTGCCTTAAACAACGCACTCTCCGCGTCCACCATCCGCTTCACATCTGCCTTCCACTTTGCCTTCAGCACTTCGCGCGTCTTTGCAAATTCTGTTCTCTGGCGTTTCAGTACCTGTAGTTTAGCACAAGGTCTAATCAAGGCCCACTTTCTTTCGCAGATCAACTTAGCGAAGCTAGGTCATGCTAAGTCGCTAAACAAAACAGAGCAACAATTACACGATATCAAACATACTTTCGTATTTGGAAGGAGATAAGCATCGAAAGTAAGACATAAAACAGACCTCAATAAGCTCCCGATATCGTTTGGTGTTGTGCAACTCCGTTTCCTTCGCCTGTTCGCCAATCTGCAGAGGGTAGGAGAACAGGAGCGTTTACGTGACAGTGAGTTATGTCTTTAGGGAAAAAACAACTACTATTTTGCTGGAGGGTGCCTTTAAACATGCAATATGAAAGTGGCATGGTGAACCATTACAGCAAATAATTTAAATGGGGCTGCGTGCTTAAAACATCCTCTGGTTAAGCTGTGTTGTGTTGGTTTACCGCCCTTTATTTTTTGGCAGAAAATTAGACCAAGATGAGCGAATTTTTTATCCGTATTTAATCAGGAGGACGATTTTAAGTAGAGAACCGTCCATGAGGCTAAGCGAGGTTGGATACGGTCTTAGGGTGATAGCTCGCAGTGGATGGGTTTGATTGTGCCCTGAGGAATACATTCAACCGGAAAAACAGTGGCTCTTCAACGTAACCGATCCTACTACTAATCAGAAATAAAGTTACCTATCTGTCAGAGCTCCGGACAATAAATACTGCTGCAAGAACTGTGAGGAAAACTGCAGGCTCGTCAGCAAAAGTAGCGTTACTCCCAGATTCAATCCTTCACAATAGATACTTCGTGCAGTTGAAAAACATTTTCTTGTAAGTAAGGAATGAAAAATCTTTGGTTATCAAACCAATTAAACTATTACTTGTCGCTCTTTTATCCTCCTTTGCCCGTTTTTATCTTATGCGTACGTTGTCGCGGCTTTGACCACAGACTAATCCCTTGCCCCTCCCCTTCCCTGCCCCTCTTTCCTCACCATCAGCGTGATCCACACACCATTACTTGATTGGATTCAATGGAAAGTGAGATGGAAACGCTTCCCTGGAGCGTTCTCTTTACACTGTTTGTTGTGTTCCTGTGTCTGATAAGGGCAATCTTCAGCATTCAAATCTCCCACATTTTAACAATGGAAGACACAAAGGTATGCGTGCGGACACATAGTCTTTGCTGTCAGTGGTCGGCAAAATCCCCGGTACAAATTAATAAAACGAATATGCAAGAACGAAGATGACACGCTTTGACAGGAAAACTTCAATACATCACGAACACGAAGGAAAGCACTTTACAGCAGTTTGGGATTTCGGTGATCAAGTAGCGCGAGTACCTTTTTTCGAATCCCGAATAAGGAAAGAATCGAGTATACGTGAAATAGCGGTAAGTGTGTAGGAGCTTTAGACTACACTACCAGAGATCGCAGTACTAGAACTACAAGCAAGTCCATTCAGTCACTTAGCTGCGACTCCTGCTCCCTCCAGTCCAACCATCTAGTCTACTTCGAGTTTTGTTTTTAAAAATTTTGGAAAGCAACCAAGTATGTTTTAACTTTTAATGTAGCTCTCACAATTCCTTCTTCGAATGCTCCAATGGTGGTGGCCCATTTATTTTACTTTTCGCAATTCCGATTTTCTGTCCACGCTGATTGATGGGAAGCAGCACCTCGTGAGGAGCAGTAAAAACAATTCCTCTTCCTCGCATCCCTTCCCTTGTTTCACATGCGTCGATTCAATGGATGGTTTTTATGTTTTCACTTTGACTTAGATCTAGTAATTTGGACAAGCCTAAAGCTTTTGGACAAAATTTAGAGGCGGAACGGGAAATCGGTCACTATTTTCCATTAGGACTGAGGTGTTTCAATGAAGTAAAGAAAACTGCATTTCTTCTCATTTCCATGTGATCCTAAAAACCGGAAGTTACTTCTACGAAGCCCACTTAAAAATGGGGAAAACTTCGAGCTACCAAGTGGGTGAATTTCCAGTTTCCCTCTACAGTAGTAATAGATGAACGTGTTGATTGTGAATTTAAGAAGAAGGAAAAGGATAAGGATCACACGTACCAAACGACTGAACTGGATGATTTCTTCCGAAAGCGGCGCTTCGGGCTGTAAGGAAGCTCGTTAGGGGGAGAAAAGCGAATGCCTACCGTTGCACTGACACCGGTCATAAGACCCTGGAACACCTTGGCAGTAGCTCGCATGCAATCGTTTTCTAAAAGGACAAATGGGGCACATTGCCCGATTGCTTTGAACAAGATGATTGTTATTGCCTACTAGTTAGCTAGGTGGCTGCCACCCATAACAAGGTGGTGCTCTTTAAGATAGTTCTTGCCACACTTCCGCCCTTGTTGTGGCCTACCGTAAATTGTGGTACATGAATAATTTTATGCTAAATTAGACTTTTTTGATAGACTAACTTAGAAAGGTGTTACAGTGGGTCAACCAATCACTCTATTAACGCATTGGAGGAGCCATGATATCCAAAGGGTAGAAACTGCAGTAAACAAGAAAATAAGTCAAACACCCATAGCAAGCGCCTTAATCCAATCGTGCATCATTCTGTCGTAATTCTGTTAGGCAGCACTTCTTTGTCTAAACAGTATAAAACAAAGCAGCAACAGGGCCTGTATTTAAGAGAATCTCTCATGAACGAGCCTATGAGGTGTAGGTCAAAGCGCGGTTTCGCCTCCATTAGAACTACTTCACGCAACAGTCTAGCACTCTGGTATTGGAAAATCGGCGTTCCTATGCCCTTGAAAATACGTTTTTCCAGGATTTCATTACTCCCCCACCAAATTAATTTCACTAAGTCGAAATCGCTAACCGTTTTAAAAAGTCCAGTGCGATGTGACGGTCTGTCTTATCCTTACTATTATTTCGTAATCAGAAAGTGCTCCTGTGTTGATGCTTCCTGAAGAAAGTTCATCCCACCTACTTGTCTTGTAGTTTTGAATTTAGGGACAATACGGCTTTAACTAGCGAGTTTCAGGAATAACTAAATTTTACAGACGATTGCTCACTTAGGGTTATAGACGTCACCAAGGGCCATGCGCATCCCTCTAAGGGACAAATAACTCTGTTCCAATATCCCTTAATCCGCTGCTGCCAAAACATCATTAAAATAGTTTTATATATTAAACATTAAATAGGTGTAGCATATTTAATTAAAGAGCGCTCAATACTTGTTCATTTTATGGATGGCAAAGGACAGAAGTCTTGAGTGTCTCTGCCTTTATGATATTGTTTTGGCTATCAATAACATCGAAAGCAACATATAGTGACATAAAGCTAAGCATATCCAGCCCTATTAGCTTATATTCATCCTCTTGACAGGACCTCGTTCCTATATGTCGCTTCTAGCATTGGCTTTACAACTCAGGTCAAAAATTGCAGCTTCCAGTGCTTGTAAAAATTCAAGGTGAATGGTGCAATTTCACAACTCCTGCACAACTTAATTCGACGAGCCAAATATAACAAAGGCATAACTTACCGAGAATCGCCCGTTTTTCTAAACTTCTTATAGTATCCTTAAGACATTTGCACCAAAGCTTGCTGTAATTTTGAACGAAATCGACGGCGTTCTTTTCTTTTCTTGCAAGCATTTTATCCTCAGCGGTGATTCCATGGCCTTAACAGCAAAAATATTTAATGATTAATTATGCAAACATCAAACATTTATTCAATTCCTAAACTATTATCCTTATGGTATTTGTCACTTTCTTGGTTCCAAGCAGTTTGGTAAAATATACCTAAGCAATATACCATATATAGAAAAAAGTTCACGAAAACTCACTCACTATTATAACTTCCTAATGGGTCAGGAACTTGCATAGAGAATTTTAATATAATCGTAAACTAAATTTGTTTTAAAAAAGATAACAACATTTGCAAAATGGTTTTTTTCAATCTAGTCCACCATTAGGTCAGTACCTGTATTAGATATCAGGTAGATCTAGAATTGCATTTAGCTCATAGATTAGAATTTTGATAGCCAGTACCGGGAATAGAATAAAGTATTTATATAACATTATAACTTTAAAAAGGAAACTAGCATACAAATGTAAAGGTTTCCAGCCTAAACAATTGGACATTTACTAAACTAATGCTTAACTTCTAGAAAATATGCAAAGCATCGCTCACAAACCCAATTTTGGCGGGACTGGACTAACAATCGGCATGATAATGTTGCTGCAATTAGACAATAAGGACACCTTATATGCACTATCTCCGGAAAAAAGGTTTTACTACATTTATGCAAAAGCAAGTGGTTATTTTTTTATACCGCTTGCAGAGGCCTTAGTTTTGTACAGTTTTATAATCCAGCCAAAAGCAGCAAAATACGCAAAATTGGTGACCAAAAATGAAAAACTGCACAAAAAACAAATGCTCCATGGAAGGCTTTAAAAATTTTTGAGGTTAAAAAGAGTTATTGCTGTGTAACTCTAAATAGACCAAGAGTGAATGAAAATCAACGAAAATCAACAAAGTTATTAATGGGATCAAGCATTAAAGAATACCGTATTCTATAAGAATATCGCCAATGTTCCCCCTTATCTTTCTGTCAGTATCATCTGCTGCAGCCATGGTACGAAATCTACAAGAAAATTAGTAACTAAAGCTAGTAGAATCAGATGCAGAGAAGAGAAAGTCAACTAAGGCGAAATTTCCACATTTACAAATCATGACACTAGCTGTAAATGTTAAAAGCCCATTATTATGTTATGAAAAGCAGACATTAAAAATCCAAGACGATAAATAAAAAGCGATTTAGAGGTACGTGCGAAACCTTAACAAAGCTGAATGTTTACAGAAGTTCAAGTTTCAATTAAGGTGTTCCAAAGATGAGTACGTTTGGGTCACTGCAGTTGCTAAAAGCGAGGCTAAAACTAAAAGCAGACAATAAATTACTGATAAAAAAGTGAGTACACACTCCAAGTCAAATAATAAAACATGCAGGCAAATTTCAAAAACGCGTTTGCTATCAAAACTCGACCTAGAACAAAATTCAGAAAAGTTAAACAGCGGTATAATAAATGCAGAAATCATTTTAACGGCAGCAAAATGCACCTTATTATTGCCCTTTTTAAAAATAACCATTAACTTATAAGTCCAAAAAGAAACCTTTTAGGCCGTACTTGGGGACATTTCATGTTTTAAGTCCCAGGACGGCATGATCATCTACCCTTACTTGAATCGCTAAATACTTTGCATGTAAATAAAATTTTTCTTTTTCAACAAAAAGGCTTGTAATATTTTTATTTTCGGAACGTAATTACATACTTTACATATTGCACTGAAATGTACAGAAAAGCAACGCACATGGTTCTGAAATGTGCTTGGAATCTGGAAAAATAGTTCAAAAAGCCATTTCCTGTAGAGATTATTTTTTGACTTCGTGGTGGTTCAGGACTTTCTTACCTGGTTTTATTATGTTGACTCAATCGTGCATTCGGTGGATGTCGCCTGCTTTAACCTTTAGAAACTGATTTCATAGCTAGCATTATGTGCGTTGATTGCCAACCCTATCGTCCTAATATTATTAAGCTGTTTTTTTTTGTTACAATCATGTAGAAGAATGAGGCCTCTACCGATTTATCTGACTACAGTTAGAAGTAATATTAGCACCTTATCATACTCCCTTTTACTGTATGCAATATATTACCGAAAGTGTACATATTTGCTAGGAACGCCTTTCAGAAGATGCAATACTCCATCTTGTTCTATTTCGTCATTTTCATTGGCGAATTGAACGGATAATTGTTTGTATTTGCGTTACACGTCCTGATATTTGTTGTTTTTACTCGTGTTTTCAATCTGTACTTATTAATTAGAGGCTTCTCTTGCTTTATTTTACGTAATGCCTTCTGCAATTGTGCTCGTGACATTTAAAAATGAGTTTTTTATACTGTGGCATTATCCGAATTCGCTTGTATGTTAGATTTAAATAGTCACTTGACATTGGAACTGACGACTATGTGAATGAGACACCTGGACTTTGAAATTTTACCGAAAATTCTATGCTTCGTGTTTTTCTCTTTAACTCAATTACAGCAGTTGATCTTCTTAAGGTTAAATTGTCCAATTTTATGGTATATGTGGTGATATGCATTCCAGTAATTTGATTACCTGAATATTTTGTAAATAATGGCATTGGTGCTGTTGAGGTAATTGGTGTTCTGGTAGTATGTCAACATTTCAGTCATACCATGAGTGCTTTTGAAACGTACGAGAAAAGGAGGCCGTCTAAAATGCCTCCTAGGCACATATCTGGCCTGAAGAGGCTGATGAAACAGGACTGCTTTGTGACTGGGTCTGGTCTTCCGGAGTTTGATAACCTAATGGGTAAATTGTCCTACATTCTTGAAAATCATTGAAGGTGGCGGACTGGTCCTGGGTGGAATTGCTGTATTTGGTAAAGTTCAATTAATTTATGTAATCGCCAGTTGAGGATGT